TTTACCATCGTACAACGAGCAAATAATAATATTTAACTCCTCTGAATAATAAACCCGTCCTTATCCAAGCATTTCAATCGCAACTGCGAGAAATGATATTATTCGTAGTAAATAATTTGTGTATCAAATGCGGGACGCGGAGCGGGGGGCAGAGGAGACGCCATTACTCGAGAAGACGCCACCGAGAACGGGGAGGAGGAAAGTCGCCACGGTGAGGTGTGAAGAATTGTTGCAGAATATAGCAACTTAGCTGGTGTCAGTGTCACAGGATACATCGTGGTGAACCGTCAACGAGAATTAACTTGACGTTCAGCCCGGAACCTGTTAATTTGTTCCGTGTAGCCCAACGTGACCGGCCAGAGAAGCGCGTCAACATCTAGGCTAGGCTCGACACCACGTGTTCGTTATTACGACGCCAGAACCTAGGACGCGAGCTTCGGCAAGCCTCAACTTACACAGTGCCCTATTAGCTAAGTACCTTTATTCCCTTTTGATGCATCATTATGGATAGGTTATAGCCGGGTAGCTTGTCGTCACGCCGAGCGACTAAAACAAAACAAAGGTTATTATCTGTTTCCACTCTCCATTTTTAATTTCATGAACATAGATATTTAGCAGCCTAATATGTTGCTACTGAATATATCTTGATTTACAGCTTGTGTGAAGAATTCCCCGAGCTGTCATTTCCCGTGTTAATCATCTCCCAGTGTTCCATGATGAGTTCAGGAGATTCCGAGGATGATTCATGACCGATGTCTTGGAAAACGTCTTCAAGCTAAGACCCCTTTCCGTATTCCATTAATTACATTATCTGTAGTGTATTATTACTACGGATCACTGTTTTCTGGATTAACACGTGTTTATTATAATCATTAATTTCTGATGTTCATAATCTATGTTCTTATTGGTGACTATTTTATTGATTCCATAATTGGTTATAGGATTAGGTTATTACATAATGAACTGGTGCACGAACCACACTAGTTCCTAGACATATATGAAGTTCTAGTAATACCCCCCCAATGTAGGTGTTTGAGGCTTTGATTCAGTTAAATTATATACAGCCCATTAATTATATAGGTGATTATATTCTCTAGTATTTATCCATAGTTACTGGTTCATCTAGGAATTTTCTAATGATCACATTTTATTAGTTTCCCTCTTTACTATAAAAGCGGGTGGTCCTTCATAATTGTTTTTCATTACATAAATATTTAAATAAATAGAGTCAAGCCCCAAATGTCCCACAGCAGTCTAGCCAGGTGTGGTGTGTAGAGTATGGCAGACTAGCCAGGTGTGGTGTGTAGAGTATGGCAGACTAGCCAGGTGTGGAGTGAGTAGAGTATGGCAGACTAACTGGGTGTGGAGTGTGTAGTATGGCAGACTAACTGGGTGTGGAGTGTGTAGTATGGCAGACTAACTGGGTGTGGAGTGTGTAGTATGGCAGACTAACTGGGTGTGGAGTGTGTAGTATGGCAGACTAACTGGGTGTGGAGTGTGTAGTATGGCAGACTAACTGGGTGTGGAGTGTGTAGTATGGCAGACTAACTGGGTGTGGAGTGTGTAGTATGGCAGACTAACTGAGTGTGGAGTGTGTAGTATGGCAGACTAACTGGGTGTGGAGTGTGTAGTATGGCAGACTAACTGGGTGTGGAGTGTGTAGTATGGCAGACTAACTGGGTGTGGAGTGTGTAGTATGGCAGACTAACTGGGTGTGGAGAGTGTAGTATGGCACACTCTTTTCTCTCTTCTTGATTTGTAGCGGACCCTTTGGTTCAGGATTGCTTTTCTAAGGCTATCGTCCTGTTGGCAATGGCCTCTAGGGGTCGGGTCGGGGAGCTTCATGCTCTCCTCCGGCGCAGGTAGTTTCTGCCCTTTTGGTTCTGGCGGTAGGGTTGTTCGGTTGCAGCCGTCTCCTCCTTTTCTGGCGAAGAATGACACTGCTGCATCTCATTCTCCCTTGGACCCAATAGGAGCCCCTCCCCAACCCCGGGAACCTTCATACCAGGACACGAAGCCGAGGCTTCCTCCAAAGCCGCGGCCTCACAAGAAAAAGCCGGGGGCAGCCGAAAAGGCAGGAAGGAAGGGGACCCACTGGTCAGACACTGTCACCACGGCTGGAGGAACCAACTGAAATGCCTCCATCGCCCCTCTGGAAGGGGCAATCCACGAAACTGCCAGAACCTTCTAAACCCTGCCCCCAACCTCAAAGCCCTCAGATGCTTCTGAGCCAGAAGCAAGGGGGGGGGGGCAGAATGAACCACAACAGTGGAAGAACGAGGGGGTGCGGACTGAACCAAGGTCGACAACACCCCCAAGTCCAGGTCCCTATAAGCAAAACAAAGCAACCTTGGGGCTTCCGGGGTAGAAATCAACCTAGCACATTGCAGCAACCTAAAGCTAGCAAGCAAAGTCTGAACTGCCTGCACCTGTAAAAATTAATCAGTGGACTGGATGAATGGAGTCACAAACAAGCAACAATTTTTGCAGGACTTTGGATTGAAAGTGTCACCGATCCAACAGGAAGCATGACAGAGGCAAAAACAGTGAGAGTCACCCCTGAAACAAGGGGACAAAGCAACCCTCAAACTCGCACAAGGCGAGAGGGGATCCAGAAGTCGCATCCATTGGACCCCTGGCGCCCCCGCAGGGTTTCCCAGGGACCTTAGACTGGAATCTCTAAGGGTAAACCCAGGCAGGGTTATGCGAACCGGCGCCCAAGTCTACCAATCAAAACTGCTAAAATTTGAACCCACAGGACGTGTCCACTCACGGGGGGCCTAGCAGGGGGTACCACCCAGAAACACAGATATATAAAACCTAGGTTAGGGAAAGTAGTACTACCCCCCCTCCTTGTGCAGAGGAACTATATCTACAGATTTAAGTGCTGCTGCTATCTCCCCCTGTATCTAGGCTCTTTCTCCATACACTGAGCACTCCAACTACTGGTACTTTACATTTCTTTATGAATATTGAATTCCTGAGTCATGATCCGGGGCTGAATGCATCCTTCTGAGCCCCATCCTTCTAAGACTTATCCTCCTTCCTCCACCATCCTTCTAAGCCTTATCCTCCTTCAACCCGTTCTCGCACTTTCGTATAGTCAATATTGACTTATTAAATGCGTGCATATGTGACATACTAATTTATTGTGAATATTTTAGTTTACCTTGAAAAGCTTCATAGAAAACACCGACCTTACCTAACCTTCTTAGTATGTTAAGATAAGCATCTTATTGCTTGTATAGTATGTCACATATGCACTTATTTAATAAGTCAATATTGACTGTAAGAAAGTGCAAGAATGGGTTGCCTCCTTCCTCCCCCATCCTTCTGAGCCTTATCCTCCTTCTTCCCCATCCTTCTGAGCCTTATCCTCCTTCCTCCCCATCCTTCTGAGCCTTATCCTCCTTCCTCCACCATCCTTCTAAGCCTTATCCTCCTTCCTCCCCATCCTTCTGAGCCTTATCCTCCTTCCTCCCCATCCTTCTGAGCCTTATCCTCCTTCCTCCACCATCCTTCTGAGCCTTATCCTCCTTCCTCCACCATCCTTCTAAGCCTTATCCTCCTTCCTCCACCATCCTTCTAAGCCTTATCCTCCTTCCTCCACCATCCTTCTGAACCCTATCCTCCCCCCCCCCCATCCTTCTCCCTCCCCCATCCTCCTCCCTTCCCCCATCCAGTCCAAGCACTTTGGTCATCCAAGATAAGGCCAGTATTAAGAGTCAGGCTAACACCACCAGAGGAAGAAACACGGCATGGTAGATGTTTTTCCCATATTCTTGTCGACTAAAAGGGGCACAATAAAAAATTTGATTGTATGTATAGCTGCAATTATTTATTTTGCTTATGGGAGAACTCCCTGCAGGGTTAATGGGGAACAGCTTCCTGCCTGGTAACTAATTTTTGAATCAATACCTTTCATGTGTTAAAACTAACTATCTATAATTATAGATACTCAATAAAAGGTAGGTCTTACAATTAATGTATTTTAAACTGTCATTAGTAATTTACCTTGTCTACATTTCCTAGATATTTATTATTCAGTTTTGAGATGAAGTTATTTATTATACTGTGAGTATAATCTTTCCTCCTCCAGAGGCAAAGATAATCAGATTTTCTGCAACCCTTGTCTCAGGTTAAGTCACTGCCACACCCTGGACCACACCCTTGCATCAGGTCAGCTAACAGCCACACCCTGGACCACATCTAACATAACCATTCATTAGGGATTGCCAAAAATGACATCAACACAGTGCAGGCGTGACAAGTGTGGGGTTGACTCACCTGGTCGTGGGTGTCATCAACACAGTGTAGGCGTGACAAGTGTGGGGTTGACTCACCTGGTCGTGGGTGTCATCAACACAGTGCAGGTGTGACAAGTGTGGGGTTGACTCACCTGGTTGTGGGAGTCATCAACACAGTGCAGGTGTGACAAGTGTGGGGTTGACTCACCTGGTCGTGGGAGTCATCAACACAGTGCAGGTGTGACAAGTGTGGGGTTGACTCACCTGGTCGTGGGTGTCATCAGCACAGTGCAGGCGTGACAAGTGTGGGGTTGACTCACCTGGTCGTGGGTGTCATCAGCACAGTGCAGGCGTGACAAGTGTGGGGTTGACTCACCTGGTCGTGGGTGTCATCAACACAGTGCAGGCGTGACAAGTGTGGGGTTGACTCACCTGGTCGTGGGTGTCATCAGCACAGTGCAGGCGTGACAAGTGTGGGGTTGACTCACCTGGTCGTGGGTGTCATCAACACAGTGCAGGCGTGACAAGTGTGGGGTTGACTCACCTGGTCGTGGGAGTCATCAACACAGTGCAGGCGTGACAAGTGTGGGGTTGACTCACCTGGTCGTGGGTGTCATCAGCACAGTGTGGGGTTGACTCACCTGGTCGTGGGAGTCATCAACACAGTGCAGGTGTGACAAGTGTGGGGTTGACTCACCTGGTCGTGAGTGTCATCAACACAGTGCAGGCGTGACAAGTGTGGGGTTGACTCACCTGGTCGTGGGAGTCATCAATTGTGGGTCCGGCACCATGGGAGACGTGAGGAGGGTTGGTAGACAGGGACACCAGGCTCAGGTATTCGCTCTTGTTGCCCTGTAACATAAACAACTTTAAGCAAATGCTCTGCCATTATATTATACTAAGGACATGCAGCAGTATGTATCAGTGTCCATAACCCCTGTAACATCATATTATGGGGCCATGAGGCACCCAGGAACACCCAGGAACACCCCCATATTATGGGGTCATGGAACACACAGGAACACCCCCATATTATGGGGCGATGGAGCACCCAGGAACACCCCATATTATGGGGCCATGGAGCACCCAGGAACACCCCATATTATGGAGCCATGGAACACACAGGAACATCCCATATTATGGGGCCATGGAGCACACAAGAACATCCCATATTATGGGGTCATGGAGCACCCAGGAACATCCCATATTATGAGGCCATGGAGCACACACAGGAATACCCCATAAAGGGCCAAGAAACACACAGGAACACCCCATAAAGGGCCAAGAAACACACAGGAACACCCATAAAGGGCCAAGAAACACACAGGAACACCCCATAAAGGGCCAAGAAACACACAGGAATACCCCATAAAGGGCCAAGAAAAACACAGGAACACCCCATAAAGGGCCAAGAAACACACAGGAACACCCATAAAGGGCCAAGAAACACACAGGAACACCCCATAAAGGGCCAAGAAACACACAGGAATACCCCATAAAGGGCCAAGAAACACACAGGAACACCCATAAAGGGTCAAGAAACACACAGGAATACCCCATAAATGGCCAAGAAACACACAGGAATACCCCATAAAGGGCCAAGAAACACACAGGAATACCCCATAAAGGGTCAAGAAACACACAGGAACACCCCATAAAGGGCCAAGAAACACACAGGAACACCCATAAAGGGTCAAGAAACACACAGGAATACCCCATAAATGGCCAAGAAACACACAGGAATACCCCATAAAGGGCCAAGAAACACACAGGAACACCCCCATAAAGGGTCAAGAAACACACAGGAACACCCCATAAAGGGCCAAGAAACACACAGGAACACCCCATAAAGGGCCAAGAAACACACAGGAACACCCCCATAAAGGGTCAAGAAACACACAGGAACACCCCATAAAGGGCCAAGAAACACACAGGAATACCCCATAAAGGGCCAAGAAACACACAGGAACACCCATAAAGGGTCAAGAAACACACAGGAACACCCCATAAAGGGCCAAGAAACACACAGGAACACCCCCATAAAGGGTCAAGAAACACACAGGAACACCCCCATAAAGGGTCAAGAAACACACAGGAACACCCCATAAAGGGCCAAGAAACACACAGGAACACCCCATAAAGGGCCAAGAAAAACACAGGAACACCCCATAAAGGGTCAAGAAACACACAGGAACACCCCATAAAGGGTCAAGAAACACACAGGAACACCCCATAAAGGGTCAAGAAACACACAGGAACACCCCATATTATGGGGCCATGGAGCACCCAGGAACACCCCATATTATGGAGCCATGGAACACACAGGAACATCCCATATTATGGGGCCATGGAGCACACAAGAACATCCCATATTATGGGGTCATGGAGCACCCAGGAACATCCCATATTATGAGGCCATGGAGCACACACAGGAATACCCCATAAAGGGCCAAGAAACACACAGGAACACCCCATAAAGGGCCAAGAAACACACAGGAACACCCCATAAAGGGTCAAGAAACACACAGGAACATCCTATTAAGGGCCACTTACAGGTTTTAGTGTTCACGTGTAAATACTTTCAGTGTCACCCTTACTTTTGTGTTAAAGTAAGTTTATACAAAGTGTTAAGTTTATAACATGTGTTATTATAATTCCTTGTGTGCGCTAGCCAAGTTTGTCCAATCAGGGGTTTTGGGTATTTTTCATATGTCATTTGTTCATTGGAGTAAATTGTCTTAATTTTTTGAGTATTCCTTCACTCCTTTGTAGTTTTTGCCCTGCAAAGTCCAATGCAATTTTTTTTTTTTGTAATGAGAAGTGTGTGCCTTATTCCATGTGCCGGGTATAGCCGCAGTACCGTTATCATGTTACACAGTGAACTATCCAACCCGTTCTCGCACTTGCTTATAGTCAATATTGGCTTATTTAATTAATAAGTGCATATGTGACATACTAATTGATTGTGAATATTTTAGTTTACCTTGAAAAGCTTCATAGAAAACACCGACCTCACCTAACCTTCTTAGTATGTTAAGATAAGCATCTTATTGCTTCTTAATTATAATTATTACTTAACCTATACCATTGATAGGTTAGTCTCCGTGGTGTAGTGGTAAGACACTCGACTGGCGTTCTGCGAGCGCTATGTCATGGGTTCGTATCCTGGCCGGGGAGGATTTACTGGGAGCAATTCCTTAACTATAGCCTCTGTTTAATACAACAGTAAAATGTGTACTTGGATGAAAAAACGATTCTTCGTGGCAGGGGATCGTATTCCAGGGACCTGCCCGAAATGCTACGCGTACTAGTGGCTGTACAAGAATGTAACAACTCTTGTATATATCTCAAAAAAAACAAAAAAAAAAGTAATAATTGTAAATAAGAAGCAATAAGATGCTTATCTTAACATACTAAGAAGGTTAGGTGAGGTCGGTGTTTTCTATGAAGCTTTTCAAGGTAAACTAAAATATTCACAATCAATTAGTATGTCACATATGCACTTATTAAATAAGCCAATATTGACTAAGCAAGTGCGAGAACAGGTTGGAGCTCTCACTTTGCCTCCAGAAAACCTAAGTCCCAACTGGACTGACAAATACCAAAGTCAATTACTGTACTCATCTTCAAAAATTAGAGTTCACAATGACTGACAAATCATCTTCTCAGGAATCAGGAATCTCCTCTCCAGAGTTAAAGTCCACACAGGCATTCTGTGTGGGAATTCAGAGAACATATACGGCATACATAGACGCGATAAAGCACCTAAGTTATTGGGATCGTCTGAAAGCCCTACAAATGTACTCACTAGAAAGGAAACAAGAGAGAGATCAAATAATATATACATGGAAAATACTTGAGGGACAGGTCCCAAATCTGCACAGTAAAATACCAACATATTGGAGTGAACGATATGTAACAAAATGCAAAATAGAACCAGTGAAGAGCAGGGGGTGCCATAGGCACAATCAAAGAACACTATAAACATTAGAGGTCCAAGGTTGTTCAACATCCTCCCAGCAAGCATAAGAAATATTGCCTGAACAACCGTGGACATCTTCAAGAGAAAACTAGATAGTTTTCCTCAAGGAGTGCCGGACCAACCAGGCTGTGGTGGGTATTTGGGCCTGCGGGCCGCTTCAAGCAACAGCCTGGTGAACCAAACTCTCACAAGTCAAGCCTGGCCTCGGGCCGGGCTTGGGGAAGTAGAAGAACTCTTTGAACCCCATCAAGCAGGTATCAAGCAGACATGAAAATATAACAGTCCCCAAATAGATATCAAAACGTAAGTCACGTCACTGGAGTTAAAATTTGCAAATTTAGTGATAACACTTATTAACTCTGATGTGCACAATAATCCCGTTCTTACCTTACAGTAGATATATAAATATCCCTATTATACAATTGCTCAAACAGAGCACACACAACAACGTGTTACCCTACCAAAGCAGTGAGGATTACAACTCTCCATCTCCACAGGTCAACTAAACAATACAAACATTGTAAATTAATATGCACCCTCTTGGAATAAAGAAAAAGAACACATAAAATACACTTAAGTAAATACACAAATTATGGAACATCAGCAGATGTTCAACTATACCAACAAATACTGTAATAATGCAGTGGTACCTTCGTTTACGATTTTATGCCGTTCCAAGAGAAGCGTCGTACACCAAAAGATCTCTGCTAGCCAGAGATCTAGTTCTTTCTCAGCTTGCCAGATTCAGGTTCCGGGTGAACTGGCAGAAGTCCAATTTGGTTTCGTCCCAGGTTCAGACTTGGCTGGATATCATTGGTGCTTTCATTGGCTTCGCTGTCCCTGCCACTGGCAGCCTTGACCCGGCTGTGGCACTACCGTCTGTTGGTGTCGAGTAGGAGTTGGATGAAGCCCATTCAACACCAACAGATGGTGTTATCTTTTATCTGTTGAGTGGGAATAGGATGACTCGACAATTGCTTGAGCAGCAGTGGGGGCCTCAACTTTACCCTCCTTGTTATTTTGGGAGGCAGGATTTAGCTTCAGAGGCTGTTCTGGTTTACAGAATTATAACTGGTTGCAGCATCAAGGAGCCGAGGGAGGGAGCTGGTCGGCTGAACGGACAACACACTGGGCTTGTGATACTGTTGTCCTGGGTTCGATTCCAGGCGCCGGCGAGAAACAATGGGCAGAGTTTCTTTCACCCTATGCCCCTGTTACCTAGCAGTAAAATAGGTACCTGGGTGTCAGTCAGCTGTCACGGGCTGCTTCCTGGGGGTGGAGTCTTGGTCGAGGACCGGGCCGCGGGGACACTAAAGCCCCGAAATCATCTCAAGATAACCTCAAGAGAAGCCCTTTGCTGGCTGCTGCATCACCGGCTTCCTCTTTGGGTTTTTCAGGGTTTGTTTCCTGATGCCCTCCTCCATCCTCGCTCGACGTCTTCACTGATGCCTCCAATCTCAATGGAGATTGTGCTCACAGTGACTTTGTGACTAGTGCTCACCAAGCTAGTCAGAGGATGTGGTCCCATCACCTTTGTTGGGCTCACTGTACTGTGTGGGAGTTTGCGACCATGTGCTGTTTATGGTTCAGGTCCCTCCAGGCTTTATAATCTGGTTCCATTTGGACTGTCTCCCATGGTTCACTGTCTCAACCGAGGGGGTTCTTCTTCAGTCTGGTGATTTCATAACCAAAGGGTGTGGTAAGGGTGGGTGGGGGGAAGAGCATAAGGAATAAAAATGGAAATTTAGGAAAAAACCAGCTTTGAATGTAATGAAATGCCATTTTCTGGGTGAGTCCCAGAGGTTCTCCGGAGCTATCCAGGCTGATATAGATATCCCTAACTTTGGCATCAATCGTTGTAGGTGGAGTT